ATTCTGTTGTTTTGCCATTTAAATTCTGCTTATTATTGTTGTTGCTTTTTTTGCAGAGCGATGGAAAAGGGATGATAAAATTTGGTTCTGGAAGTTACAGTGTTCGCGAATCTGAGGGTCTCAACCCGCAAACTCTCACATCGCCATCGTTCCGAACAATCACATGCACTGTTTTTTTTCTCGATGATACTGAACGAAACTTTGAAATTGACGTAAGTTTTCCTATAGCAACCGAGTAGAAAGGATTGGTAATGGCTAAGAAAAAAAAAAGAAAAAAAAAATGAAAGGAAAAGAAACTGTAACTTTTTATCGCTTTTGGGAATCTTTTTTCTTTTAATGTCATTCTGGTGTTGTTTTGTTCATAAGAAAATCAAAAGTTGGTTCTATAAAAATTTTCCAGTGAAAAATTTTTTTTATTGCCTTAATTTGTTCGACAACTTTTTCTATAAGCATTTAGAATATTTTGCATCACATTTGTTTGTCAGCTGTATATTTGGTCTATCCTAGTGGTTTCACAGACCGAGTAGTTCCCTAATTTTTTTACTTTTATTTATATTCGTTGTTTTTTATGTGTGAAACTGAGGCAAATATAACGAGGAAGAAGTTTTTCTGAGTCAAAAAACTGTTTTTTTATTTTCTTCTCTAAGTTCACTAAAATTCTTCGGTTAGAAATGATTAACATGACCATTCGTTGTTGAAGCAAAATTTAAAAGTTGAATCAGTATTTGAATACTTTTGGGTTTGAGCAACATCCCTTAATCGACGGTAATTTTAGCGGTACGCAAAAGGTCAGATTCTGCTGGATAAAGTATTCGAGCATTTGGAGCTTGTCGAAAAAGATTACTTCGGCTTACAGTTCCTGTCGTTTATTGAATCTAGTCAGACGGGCATCAAGGTGAAGTTTGTTTCAGATTGGACTGCATAAAAGCTTTGTAGCAAAAGTGACCTTTACAGCTTTTGTAGTCAAAAAAAAAAGTATCTGTTCAAAATAAGAGAAAACCACAAACTGATCTCTTCGCCAAGCATTTATTTGAACTTACATACTTCTTTACTTTTGTCGGTTTTCTCAGATACAGAAGACTTATTATTTTAGTTTTTTGTTCTCAGAAAGACTACTATAAAACCACTGAAAATTTTTTATGAAATTTTGGATTAATGTACAGAAATTGTCATACAACTTTCACCTATTACAACAGCATTAACAAAGATCTTCAAACGATCACTTTTATTCCTCGTAATTTACATTTATCTGTTAGACATTTTAGAACTATACTTCTTTTGCAAAAAATTCGGAGCCCTTTTTCTTTTTAATTTTGCAAGAAAAATACCAACAGTTTTTTTTATGCCAGAGAAATTCTGAAAAGAAAATTCTTTGTTGCATTACTGTTTTTGGTTATTGAAACAGTCAGTGAGATAAAGAACTGTTTGCTTTTTTTTGGTTTCAATAATATCTGTCACAACTGTTATCTCAAAGATTTTAAAAAAGACAAATTTGTAGCAGAAAAAACATCACATCAGACAGTTTTTTAGTTGCAATTAAGTGAGCAGTATTTTTTTTTTCGTGTTTTTTTTTGATCGTATTTTTAGCAATAAACTTCAAAAAGTTCATCAATGATTTATCTGATATTTTGTTAGGTGGTTAATCGAATGATAGTAATAGTGAGAAATTGATTACATTGAAGGTTATTTGTAGTGAAAATTTGCCATCTTTCAAGTTGTAATTTTCTAGAACCTTTATAAAAATAACAATAAATTTTTTCTTTCTTCTTTAAACCCTATTGAAATTTTAGAAATCGACAAGTTAAATTGTTTTGCAGCGAAAAGCTGTGCTGTTAGACAAATGGATTTTAAAATTTTTTAATATATATGTATATATGTAGGTGAAAATTTTGCGAAATAGTTTGCCTTCATAAGAAAGACAATAATTGTTTTATGTCTTTAATGAACTTTTTATGTTTTGAAGTCTGCAAATATTGTTTATTGTAAATGGTCATAACTTCTGATGGTTTGCTAGTCTCAAAAAAAATTTTTAATTTAATATGGTTTTTGTTTTTGCTTACTAATGATTTTTTTTTTTTTTTGGTATAGTAATGACTTATTTCTTAACAGCGGTTGCAGTTTTATGTTTTACCGTTCTTTTTTTGCTTAGCTTTTGTAAGGTTTTAGTGTTGTCAACAGAAAGTAAGAAGTAGTAACCTGAACAATTTAACAGTGGAATGTGTGGAATGATGATGGGGGGAAGTTGAAAATTTTTTCCTTTTCGCAGTTATGCTGAAGGTAGCGAACGGAAAAAAACAAAAGATAAAAAAAAATTGAAAATTTTTAGCTCTAAAAAATTCTTTAAAAAAGTAGCATTTATGACAGTAATATAAGCTTAAGCTTTAAGTTTATCGTTCAAAGAGATAAGAAATATTTAGGTGGAAGGAAGTGGTTTTTTTTTCTTTGTAAATAATATGTAGTTTTGTGTAATCTTACTGATTGCATGTAACTTTTTTGTAATCTGTTTATTAAACTGATGTTTGCTCCATAACTTTTTTTTTTTTTGCTTTGCAGAAATGGTTGGACCCAGCAAAATCCGTAAGAAAACAAATGTTTTGTAAGTGTTTTCTTTGTCGATTAACTCTGCCATAAAGTTTTCGCTAAGTCATTACTGGTAGATTGATGTTATGATGGAACAGCAGTTTCTAATTACAACAATTAAAATTGGTCAAATATTTTTGGAAAAACATATTCCATAATAATATTTCCGTTATTTCAGGTCCTCCATTTCGGTTGTATTTTAGGGTCAAATTTTATATTAGTGATCCGTCGAGGCTTACCGAAGAGTATACAAGGTAAGCCAAAATTTAATGTTTAATTGTTCTATTGTTATTGTACAGAAGGTTTAGAGATGGGAGGAGAAGGAGGTTTAGCTGAATCAGTCTTCAAGTGATCTGTATTTGTAATTGTGCGAAATGGCATTATTACTTTTTTATTTTTCTTCTTACGCAATTTCTTCTTTTCAAATTTATTCTTTAAAATATGGTCAATTATTTATTAGATATTTACATCTAATGTAGGAGATGAATTTTCTTTGGGTGTTGTAGGTATCATATTTTTTTACAACTTCGACGAGATTTATTAGAAGACCGTTTGGTTTGTACGGAAAATATGGCAGCATTGTTGTCCAGTTACGCTGTGCAATGTTAGTTCAAGTTTTTCATTGCCGTGTCATTCTTCTTGGCCGAAAATATTTGATACCATCGAATGGTATCAAATATTTGGTCATCAAATTCATAAGCTGAAATTTCAAGTTTTATTGGGATTACTGTTAAGGAAATTTATAAAAAAA